CTTTCCATGCTCCAGTCTCCTCTAGTTTTCCCTAGTGTACCCTTCCTCCCATTTCTGGTAGTAATTTTAGCAAATTTTCCCCTAAACGGCCCCTGGCATGCTCACAGCAAATGGCCCCTGCTGGGTCTGACACTTGATCGGTGGTGACAGGGCCCAGACAAAGCAGGCACCCTGCCGGGAGGGGGGGCAGGTCAGACAGATCACCTTCCTCCCACTCCGAACCTTATTTGGCCTACCTTGGCGAAGTTGCCCTCCTCCAGCCCTCTTTATTTATAGCAATTTGTCTGCTCCCCTTTATCTGTCTGCTATCACTCTGGAGCACACTGCGCTTTCCCACCCAGCGGCACACAGTGGGGCCCCAGCGCCTCCCTCTCCCCACAAGGAATGTGCATGTGAGCAAAGATGCTGGCCACACACTCAGGCCTAGATTGCACATCTACCAGCAGTTGGCTAGAGCTGCTCTGAGGACAGTATTTTGTTTTCTCATTTTTTTTAAAGATTTATTTATTTATTCATACAGAACTGGGGTACAGGCCAGAGATGCGGAGGGTGAGAGGATTCACCAGAGACAGAGCAGGGAGCAGAACAGGCAGATCAACGAAATACACTGCTGAGGGGAGCAGCGGGCGGGTCAGGAGAGGTCTGCCACGCCATGTGGGTCACCTCCGGGGCAGGCGGGGATCGAACTCATGCGGAAGTGGCTTAAGCTTCTTAGTGCTGTGCTTTAACCCGCTGCGCCACCAGGGAGGGACCCCGTTTGTTTGTTTTTTAAAAGATGTATTTATGTACGTATGCATACAAGAGCTGGAGTGTAGACCAGGGGTGTGGGGGGCCAGAGACAGAGTGGGGAGCAGAACAGGCAGATTGACTGGAGTACATTGCGGACAGGAGCAGTGAGGAGAAAGGAGAGGTCTGGTAGGCCGTGTGGGTCACCTCCCTGGCCAGGAATTGAACTCCTGCTACAGTGACTGAGGTAACTCCATAGTGCTGAGACTTAACCCCTTGTTCCGCCACGGATGCCTCAGTGTTTTTTTTGGAAACCATTAGATCCTAATTAACTAGGACATTGCTGGCACAAAGTGGCCCTCAATGACAAATACCTATGCAACAAAGCAATCAGCAAAACTGCCTGGTCTTTATAGAATAGAGGTAGAAGGATGGAGCCAGAGCAGGTGCTGGGGAAGGAGCAGGGAACTTTAAGGACAGCAGATCTTTCACTCTGTCTCAGATTAGAGAGCTGAAGCAGAGGACCCAGAAGCAGAGAGGTGAGTTCTATTCTGCAATGGGGTGAGAACAGCACCACTGTAATACAAATAGGCCCTCCCCCCAAAAAAAGAAACCCAAAAGGAGGAAACCAAACATGATTGATTTACTAAATATTTGGGGAAAAGGTTCCCCAACTCCACAGCCAAGGAGGCTGTCCACGGTGAAGACACTGGCCTCAAAGTGGCCCAACCATTCCCAAGTGACTTTGTGTAGCTCACTTGCCCGGATCTGTCTCTGAGCCCCAAGAATCAGGGAGGGGTGACAGTTACAAGCTTGGAAAGCTGCAAGGGTGGGTAAAAGGATCCTTGGCCTTTCATCACCTGCTCCTGGGTCCCTGCTAGTGAGCCTAACTCCTCCACACCTAGCAGGGCCTGGCCGGGCCCCCCAGAGTGCGTTCTGCCGAACCTGTCTGCTGCAGCGCCTCCAGAGCTGACATTCACCTGGTGCTACAGAGCAGCGGCTATGGCTGCGCCATGTGATTCGGTGTCTGGGCCGCATCCCTGCTCCCTCAACTTGCCCGCACCAGAGCTACCCCACCCCCTCCAAGCTGCTCAGTGTCCTCAGGCTGGCCCTTGGTAGGCAGGTGGGCTTCTCAGAGGCCTTCCCTGGGCTCATCCTTCCCTGCTGCGCCCTCCCTACCTTCGAAACATGCCTGCTCTGCCCCATCCCCCAGGCCTGCCGCCCTGCTTCCAAGCTGACAGCTAATCAGATAGATTAATCCGCATGGCTGGAGAGCTCTGTGGGGAAGGAGAAGGGGGGGTTTCAAACACACCAACAATGGTTGCCTGGACACCGAGCCAGTGAAGCTTGCATGCTGCTCCCAGGAAGGCATGGCAGGGACTACGATCTGGGCTCACAGGCTCAGCCCCTGCTCCCTTCCCTCACCTCCTCTGTGGCTGCTCCTAGGGCCTGAGTCTCTGTCCCAATCTAATCAAGTCTAGGTGCGACCACTCCACAGCTTACAGGAGGCGGTAGACCAGGTGGCCAGTCTTGGTTAGTGGTGGCCTTCTAGTCAGAGCAGCTGCATTGTCTAAGGCTCTGAGCGCCAGAGTGCCAGGTGCGGGGCTGGGGCATTATGTACCTGCAGACGCAGCAGGACCATCAGGCGGCCGGCTCCCACCCTCCACACACAGTGGGTCCTCATCACCTTGGGCTTCCAGACCTCCTTCCCAGGCCTCCCTCCACAGGAGGGTCTCTCTCCCCCCTGCTAAGGTTGCCCCACCTTAAATCTGGCTGCTGGACCTGAGAAAGCACTTCCCCTCTCCATAGCTGACAGGGGTGGACCTATGGGGGTAGACCTATCACTAAGGCCTGCCTGGCTCTGAGTCTCAGTGACCGCAATACTTCATCCACTGGTCCAAAGGAATCAGGGCCCAGGCCAGCTCCCGTCATTGTCCTCGCCACTTGGCTGGGAAACCCCTTTCAGCTGCCCCAGTCTAGCCCCCACACTGGGGCCCTGTTGTCAGCTTTCCCTGCCCCTCTGCTGCTCACACACAGCCCATCTCCCATCTCACAGTCGGGTGCAGGACACAGGCCAGGGTGCAGAGGGGACTGTGAGGTGGGCCAGGCCTGCCCCGGGCAGAGGCCTGAGGAGAGGCCTGGGGGAGGGTCGGGGCCTGCTTGCCTGAGGTCATGGTGGTTGGGTCAGTTCCCCTCCTGCCAGCTGTGGAATGCGAGGTCTGGCCTGGGAGGTATTTTGGCTGTATTTTGAGCCATCCCCGCCCCCTGGAACTCAGACCCTGTACACGCCATGCCCTAACAATGCCGACCACTTCCAATTGTTTCCTAACTGGGGAGTGGGGGGTGAGTGGGGGGGAGAGAGGAACAGGAGCACTGTTTGGAAAAGGGGGGAGGGAGGCTGGGGGAAATGCTTCTAGTGACAGCAGCCCTTTCTAAATCCGGCTAGGGACTGGGTGCAGGTGGGGGTGGGGGTGCCTGCTGCCCAATATATACTGCCTCTGACTAGGTCTGCTCCGCAGCTCTCTCCTACGCTGTCTTTCCTTGCTGCTTTCAGGTAGGGGCACCGAGCTGGAGGCTTTCCTCTGAGACGAGGGGACCCAGGTTTAGGGGGAGGGTCCTCTAGGAACAGCAAGCTGAGTGCAGGGCTACATGCAGACATCAGATCTGGTCACTGAGCGCACATGTGCAGGTTTAAAATGTGTGCATGTGCCATGGGGGAGGCTTGTGTTTCAGGAGAGATGTCTGTACCTGAGAACATGGGTCCAGAATGCTTTAGAGGGGTGTGGTGTGTGTGTACGTGCATGTGTGTATGTGTGTGTACAGGCACATACGGTCTGAGTGCGTGGCCAGCAAGGCTGTGGACTGCACTGTTTGTGACCCGGAAATCCTGAGTGGAAGATGTGTGGTTATGATCATGCCCAAGGACAAGAAGTTACCTTCTAGGGGCAGAGGGAGAGGATGGCAGAGAAGGGTCACTTTGGAAGTGTGCGTGCATAAAAGTTAGCTCTGCAATGTGTGTGCATGTGGGGTGCTTGTGTGCACACCCAGGGGCCAGTGCCACACACCCAGGGTGTGTGACACCCTGCCAAAGGCACTCCCAGACTGTGGTGTGGGCTCCTGGGGGCCTCATACTTGGCCATGTTCCCCAGGTGAGGCTCCTTGTACTGGAGCCACATTGAGGGTGCATGGCTGCTGCTGAGGCAGAAGGGCCCGCTGGGAGGGGCAGAGGCAAGGTACAAGGAGGCAGCGTGTGTGAGAGGGGCGTGACGTGCTGTGGGCCGGTGCGTGTGTCCGTCGGCTGTGGTGGACTAGACCGTGTGACGGATGTCTGTGCGAGGGTGCCGGGGGGCTCCCCTCTGAATGTCCACCAAGACTGACAACAAACCAGAACTGGCTCTGGAGTCACAAGACTGGGGTTCGGGTGTGGCTCCCCCACTTTGTGTTAGGTGTTCGTAGGCAAGCGAGCCTCATCACCTTGGGCTCATCTGTACAAGGGTGAGGCTGGGGTAAGAGAAAGTGCACAGAATGTGCTTCCCAGGCTGCAAGCACCTGGACAAATGTGACCACTAGTTGCTCCTCAGGCATGTTTCACTAGATGGGGCTAGGCAGGGGGCCGTCTCCCAGGAGTGAGGACAGGGCTCCCAGCTGAGGTGACAGCAGCAACTGACAGAATGCAGGGGGTGAAGGGAAAAGTACTGGAAATCAAGGGGCGGCAAGAACTGGAGAAGCTGCCCACCACAGCCCGCCTGTCCTCAGCGGGGAGGCCGTGTGTGTGCCGAAGGGCAGAGCCAGGGGGCCGCAGGGAGGTGGCCCTGACAGAGCATTCCCCCTCCAGGTGCCGGCAAGCTTCAGCCCTTGTCTACTTGCAGACACATTTGAGAAGCCAAGGTAAGAAAAGGGAGCCTGGGAAAATGAGCACAAGAGCCCCACGTGGGCCATGTCCTAGCGTCAACCTCGCCTTGGGCAGAATGTCCTGGCCACCGGGAACAGCTTGCTGAGAGAGGGAGGGAGCCACGGAGGTGTAGGCGGGTGAGAGCGAGAAACCCAGGCCACGCCTCGAGCAGAGCCCCCAGCTGAACAGAGGTTAGCCCCCCTCCACTACCTTGACAGGTTTGCTAGCCTGGTCTCTGGTGAGGGTAAGGCCAAAAAACAAGAGAGCTGCCGTGAAACTTCCTAGCTTGCAAACATGGCGCTAGGCTTTGGGGTTCCCCCTGAAGGGTGTGCCCAGCGGGGAGTGAGGGCAGTAAGCATCTCCTGCCTACACAGGTGCAGCCATGGCAGATGCCGAGATGTCCTCCTTTGGGGCCGCTGCCCCCTTCCTGCGGAAGTCAGAGAAGGAGCGTCTTGAAGCCCAGACCAGGCCTTTTGACCTCAAAAAGGACGTCTTTGTGCCTGATGACAAAGAGGAGTTTGTCAAGGCCAAGATTGTGTCTCGGGAAGGTGGCAGAGTCACTGCCGAGACTGAGAATGGCAAGGTACGTGGTAAGACTGGCCAGAGAGGCCCCCCCGGCGGCCCCCCGCCAGGGCAGACACAGAGGGTGCCGCCGGCATCCAGCACACCGCCCTGAGGATGGTCCAGTATCTCCTTGCTCTGGTAGAGATCCAGCCCCTCATGCTCCCCTGTCCCACGGTCCAGCGTCCCTTCTCTGTGATCCTGCTCCCTCTCTCCCATGATTGTCCTCTAGCTGCTGACACCCACCCGGGCAGAGGAGGGAGGCAGGAACGTTCCAACTGACAGTAGGCTTGGTATACGGGCTGTTGCAGACGGTGACCGTGAAGGAGGACCAGGTGCTGCAGCAGAACCCGCCCAAGTTCGACAAGATCGAGGACATGGCCATGCTCACCTTCCTGCACGAGCCCGCGGTGCTCTTCAACCTCAAGGAGCGTTACGCTTCCTGGATGATCTATGTGAGTGCGGCCCTGGGACGCCCCCACCCCGTCTCTCCTCCCTGGGGGCCCTTCCAGCTCCCGGAGCCAAGGCTTCTGCTCCCCGCACTCTACCCACCCTTCAGCTTTGGTGCATCCTGGGCCCCAGGGGGCCGGGGTGACTCAGCCTGGGGCGTCCAGAGAGACTCTTCTCCTCTGCCTCTGCTGGGCGCTTTCTCTCGCTGGGAAAGGCATCCCTGGGCTTTCCCTGCCCCTTTGCCACCCCTAGACCTACTCGGGGCTGTTCTGCGTCACCGTGAACCCCTACAAGTGGCTGCCTGTGTACAATGCGGAGGTGGTGGCAGCCTACAGGGGCAAGAAGAGGAGCGAGGCCCCGCCGCACATCTTCTCCATCTCCGACAACGCCTATCAGTACATGCTGACAGGTGAGCCCCAAGTGAAGGGTTGGGGGGCCCGTTGGAGGGCATACACTTTCCTCCTCCCAAGGGGGGTTCAGGCAGCTGTGAAATGCCTGGAGGGAGTGGAGGGAGGTAGGGAGAGATGGGGGGACAGGCAAGGGCGTCCTGTGAGGCTCTTACCTTCCCTCCTCATTTTCTCTCTAGACAGAGAAAACCAGTCCATCCTGATCACGTGAGTGTGGCTCCTGCTCCCTACCCCTCTGGGATCTCCTTGACCCCCAGAGGGAGCCCAGGCCCTCTTTGTAGACCCACAGTTATTTTTTCCCCCTCCACCGTGAAGCCATCTCCTCCCTGGCCTTTCTCTGCTCTCTCCCCAGCTCTATCCCTTCCGACTTCCCTTCCCCTCTCCTGGACTCACGCTTCTCCCACTCATCACTTATCTATCTGCAAGCCCTTTATCACTGTGTCTTCTCCATCTCTTCGTTTTTCTTCATCTGACCCTTCAGAAAGTTCTCCACTCTTCTGCCTCCACATATTCTTTCCCAAAACAGACCAGTCTTCTGATTGCCCTTGCCCAGCAAAGATCAGGTTCCACCTGCCCAAGTCCGGCACCTCCTTGTGACACCTCCCTGTGGTCCTTGCCCTGTGACTCTCCGTAGGCTGTGTTTGGGAGGCGCACGGTCTGCAGCTTCCTACTTCGGGGCCCCACTGTCCTCTAGGACCTGGCCTACTCTCCTGTTTTGAGGCTTGCTGGTCTCAAACAGTGCTTGGCCACTTCCTGATCAGTCTGACCATCCCAACAGTGGAGAATCTGGGGCAGGGAAGACAGTCAACACCAAGAGGGTCATCCAGTACTTTGCAGTCATTGCTGCCATTGGGGACCGCAGCAAGAAGGACCAGAACACGGGCAAGGTAGGCTGCTGTCCTCCAAGGGCCTCACTGCAAACAGAGAGGGGAGGCCGCTCAGCCGCCCTCCTCTTTGACTTCCGCAGGGCACACTGGAGGACCAGATCATCCAGGCCAACCCCGCCCTGGAGGCCTTCGGCAATGCCAAGACCTTGCGGAACGACAACTCCTCCCGCTTTGTGAGTTGCCCTTGACCTTCAACTTGGGACTGGGCTGGTCATAGCATGGCATGCAATATGCGACTTCCCCCAAATAACCACTGCTCTCTTCACCTCTCCAGGGAAAATTCATTCGAATCCATTTTGGGGCGACAGGAAAGTTGGCGTCTGCAGATATAGAGACCTGTGAGTGCCATGCTTCTACTGGTTCAGCCTGGGCAAACCCTTGTTTTAAACCATCTCAGTCTTTCTGTTTCTCCTTCTGACTCCCTGTCCCCCCACCCCCGCGTCACTCCCCCCGTGTCTGTCTCTGTGTTTCTCTAGGACTCTGCTTCTGTTTGCCTGTCTCCCTGTGACTTTAGGTCCCAGAATACGTGTCTCTCTGAGATTTCCTCTGGTCTCTCTCCATCTGGCTCTGCATGTCCCCGTATCCTGCTCTGAGACCTTTCTCCAAGACTATTTCTCTCCTGAGCACTGTCTCCATCCCTGAATATGATCTCTGTGCGTCTGTGAATAAGTCTCTCTTTGTCTCCGTGTCTCCCTCTGCCTCTGCCTTTTGCACGCTACATTTATCATTAATTTCCCTCTCTTTTCTTGTACATAAATCCCAACCTTTTTCTCTCTTTCTTCACTCCTACTGTTCACAGATCTTCTGGAAAAATCCAGAGTTATTTTCCAGTTGAAAGCAGAGAGAGATTATCACATTTTCTACCAAATCCTGTCGAACAAAAAGCCTGAGCTGCTGGGTGAGTCAGAGCTACCAACTGAGACCAGCTATCTCCATGGCAACCCGGTCCCCTCTGCTGGCAGCTGGCTTGTGCTGGCATGTGCTGGCTGTGTGGCGCGGCTGGATTCACTTCTGCAGGATGTGGAACCCAAGTGAAGCCCTGTCATGTGCTCTCTGCAGGCCGTGAGCCATGCCAGGCAGCCCCAGAGAGAGACTGGGGTTTGTGCCATATATTAACCACTTTTTCTCCCCCAGACATGCTGCTCATCACCAACAACCCCTATGATTACGCATTCATCTCCCAAGGAGAGACTACTGTGGCCTCAATTGATGACTCTGAGGAACTCATGGCCACTGATGTACGTGTGTGAGGACCAGGAGGTTGAGAGGCGAGGGAATTGGCAGTGAGGGGCAAATGGGACCAGGTCACCGATGCAGGGGTGGAGCTGAGACCCTGGCTCCAGTGTCTTCTGTTCTTTGTGGTCCTGAGGGCAGGAATGTGCCCATGTCCAGAGGGTGCTGGAGTCCGAGTGTGGTGAGACAGGCTTGGTCAGAATTTGGTGTTCAATCAATTGAGAAAGGATTGAAAGCCCAGGACAGAGAGCAGAGAAACCAAGAAACAAGGCATCACCAAGAGGAGGGTAGAGAGGGTCACGCAGACCATGGTTCTAGGGTTGGCAGCCTGGCAAAGCGCAGGTATAGAAGACCCAGGCAGGGGAACAAGTCTAATGCCTCCAAGAGGCAACAGAGCAGCTCCGAGATCAGCTGTGACCCCCAATTCAAAGGCTGAGGTGGAACATTCCCGCTCGACATCTTTGTTCTGGGGTCTCCCACGCCCACTCCTCATGGGGATTCAGGAGGAAGCTTCTTGCCACTGAAGAGGGATCTCATTTACCTGCTGTGTTTCCTTTACTGTGGTTCACCAATATGGAACCCACCTGTAGAATGCCTTTGATGTACTGGGCTTCACTCCAGAAGAGAAGAGCTCCATTTACAAGCTCACAGGCGCCATCATGCACTTTGGAAACATGAAGTTCAAACAGAAGCAGCGAGAGGAGCAGGCTGAGCCAGATGGCACCGAGGGTGAGTGTCAGGGGCACACTGAGGGACCATCTGCACAGGAGTCATCCCTGCACCAAATTTTTTACCTGGCCTTTCCTTCCAGAGGCTGACAAGTCGGCCTACCTCATGGGCCTGAACTCAGCCGACCTGCTCAAGGGCCTGTGCCACCCTCGGGTGAAGGTGGGCAACGAGTACGTCACCAAGGGGCAGAATGTCCAGCAGGTGGGTCACTTCAGAGGATGGCATGGTGCACGGCGGACCCTGGAATTCACACCTCCCAACAACTCTATTATCTGGGTCTTTGTCCTACCTTGTAGGTGTCATATGCCATCGGGGCACTGGCTAAGTCAGTGTACGAGAAGATGTTCAACTGGATGGTGACACGGATCAACGCTACCTTGGAAACCAAGCAGCCACGCCAGTACTTCATAGGAGTCCTGGACATCGCCGGCTTCGAGATCTTCGATGTGAGTCAAGGCAGCCCTGGCCCCGGGAGAACCACCCAAGCCCCTTGCCTGCAACACCCCGGTGGCGGGGCAGCCACAGGCCAGGCGCGGGGAGGCAAGGGGCTCAAAGGGGTGCAGGGGTGGCCCCCGAGTCCAGGGGAAGCTCTCCCTCCCTGCCCCGACCAGCAGTAGGCTCAGGCACCTGGCACGGCCTGCCCTGGCCGCCCCCAGGCCCCCAGGCCCCCGCCCGCCTGACCCCTGTGCCCTCCCCTCAGTTCAACAGCTTCGAGCAGCTGTGCATCAACTTCACCAACGAGAAGCTGCAGCAGTTCTTCAACCACCACATGTTCGTGCTGGAGCAGGAGGAGTACAAGAAGGAGGGCATCGAGTGGGAGTTCATCGACTTTGGCATGGACCTGCAGGCCTGCATCGACCTCATCGAGAAGGTGCCGCCTCCGCCCCTGCCCCTGCCCTCCCTCACCCCAGGAGCGCCCCCAGGCCAAGAGGCACCCCCCTCCCTCTGGGAACAGCAGCTGGTGACAGCAGGAGCCCGAGCCTCCTTCCCTGAACCCGCACTGTGCCGGCACCCAGACGGGTGGCACCTGGCAGAGCCGAGCCCCCAGGGACTCAGGCTGGGCACGTGGGGGACGGCCACTGCACGACGGCCTCACACCAGTGTCCTCAGCGGCCCCGGCTCACCCAGCCAGGGAGCAGGGGTGTGGGCAGGGTGGCAAGAGGGCCCCTGTTTTCAGCCCCAACATCCCAGGCGTCGGGGTGACGGTGGCGAGCAGAGCACCACAGCGCCCACGCTCCCAGCTTCCTCTAAACCCTCCGAAGCCAAACCTCGAACAGGGCCTGTCGGGGCTGAGCCAGGCAGTCGGTCCCCGAGGGGGCAGCTCCCTCAGCCGACACTGAGCCCAGAGCAGGAGCTCACCGCACTGAGCGTGCTCCGTGACGCCTCCCCCTCAGCCCATGGGCATCATGTCCATCCTGGAGGAGGAGTGCATGTTCCCCAAGGCGTCCGACATGACCTTCAAGGCCAAGCTGTACGACAACCACCTGGGCAAGTCCAACAACTTCCAGAAGCCGCGCAATGTCAAGGGCAAGCAGGAAGCCCACTTCTCCCTGGTGCACTACGCGGGCACCGTGGACTACAACATCCTGGGCTGGCTGCAGAAGAACAAAGACCCGCTCAACGAGACAGTGGTGGGCTTATACCAGAAGTCCTCCCTCAAGTTGCTTAGCAACCTGTTTGCCAATTATGCTGGAGCTGACGCACGTAAGTTGAGTGAATAGGGAGTGGGGTTTGTGTCATGATTCTAGGCAGGCCACCTGCTCCACCTCGCCACCTGCATGTCGCATGGGCCCCGCTGTTTTCACGCTAAGGGGGTGGAGTTGGGCGCAGAACGGAGGCCCTGCCTCTTCTCCATCCCTCCTGTCCCCATAGAGGGGCCAAGTCCAGCAAATGTGAAGAGAAGGTGATGCCTGTCGCTGGCCCTCGCCTCCTCCCACAGCCACTCACGCGCCTTTCCTTGACCCTCCTTCCACAGCTCTCGACAAGGGCAAAGGCAAAGCCAAGAAAGGCTCATCCTTCCAGACCGTGTCAGCTGTGCACAGGGTGGGTGCAGCCCCAGCCCTGCCTGCTTCTCTCCGCCTGTCCATCCTGCACTCCTCTCTGCTAAGCCTTGTCTGCTTTCTGGTCCTTGCTGTTCTTTGTCTCTCTTCTCGTCTCCCTCCTCTTGGCCTTCATCTGCTGCTTCTTCGCTCACTCCACTCCATCTCTCCTCGTTCCCTCCTGTTGTACCTGCCCCCGCCCCCGTTTTCTCTATTTGCCTCACCTCTTTCTTCCCCTGCCTTCCTTCTTCTCTTTTTCCGACTGTTTTTCATGCACTTTCTCATATTTCCTCTTGTTTTGGGGGCCACAGGAAAATCTGAACAAGTTGATGACCAATTTGCGCTCCACACACCCCCACTTCGTGCGTTGCATCATTCCCAATGAGACCAAGTCTCCAGGTGAGCCCCAGAACTGGGCCCAGCCTCTGCGGAACACGCCCCACCCCGGGACAGGAACTTCTGTGCCATGTCCCGGTCTCCATCACCGTGGATTCCGAGTCACCTTCCATCTCTCACTTCCCATAAGGTCTCACACATGCTCCCGCTGCCCCCACACTGCCTCACGTTTGACACCTGTAACTCAGGGCTCCGGTGGGCATCGCCTGGGCACTCCCTGCAGCCCCAATAACCTACACAAAGACTGCTTAGCCCTTTTGAAGGAGAAGGAGATAGACTCAGGGGTCTGGGTTCAAGATCTAGCCCTGCTCGAATGAACTTTGGGACCTGAGCAAGTCCCGTGACCCCTCTGAACTCTGTTTAGTTTCTAGAAAATGAGGTTTCTCTGTTCTGGCTTAGTGACTGGAGATAGATATAAAGATAGATGTAAACCATACAAAATAAGGTCTTTTGCTTACTTTAAAAAGTTTGACTAAAAGCCCATGAAACAAAGGAACATCGCTAACTGCCTTGCTAAGGGGACCAGCTAAAAAGTGGCAGAACCAGGATCAGAACACAAAACTTTGGCTCCCAGTCCAGTGCTCTGCCACACACCCCTCTCCCCCCATTCTGCAGGGGTGATGGACAACCCCCTGGTCATGCACCAGCTGCGCTGCAACGGCGTGCTCGAGGGCATCCGCATCTGCAGGAAGGGCTTCCCCAACCGCATCCTCTACGGGGACTTCCGGCAGCGGTGGGCACGGGGACCGGGCTCAGGGGGTGGGGGTGCAGGTGGTCCTGAATGCCGTGGGCAGAGCAGGTCGGCACAGAGCTGCGCCTCCCCCCCAGGTACCGCATCCTGAACCCCGCGGCCATCCCCGAGGGCCAGTTCATCGACAGCAAGAAAGGGGCAGAGAAGCTGCTGAGCTCCCTGGACATTGACCACAACCAGTACAAGTTCGGCCACACCAAGGTGAGCAAAGGGAGGAGACAGCGGGTGAAACCCTTCCCTCCGCGCCTCCTGGCTCCTCTCCTTTCAGCATCACCCCAGAAAGCCTCTGGACCTCCCGTGAAACATCCAGCATCACCTTGTACAAGATCAGCCCCTCCCTGCCCCGGCCTGTCCCTCCCCTGACACACCCACACGCCCCTGCCCGCAGGTGTTCTTCAAGGCGGGGCTGCTGGGGCTGCTGGAGGAGATGCGGGATGAGAGGCTGAGCCGCATCATCACCCGCATCCAGGCCCAGGCCCGGGGCGTACTTTCCAGAATGGAGTTCAAGAAGCTGCTGGAACGCAGGTGAGAGATCTCAAAAGGGGATCCCCAGACCTCACGCCCAGGCTGGTTCAAGAGAAATGTCAGAGGAAGAGCTCACAGGTCTTCAAACAAGGAGAGGGACATAGGGATGTGGTCTCACTGAGCTGGGAATAGAGGGATGATGAAGAATGGGAAGAGGGGGTGAAGGGTCCCTCACTACCCCTTCTCACTGCACCCCTGCAGAGATGCCCTGCTGGTTATCCAGTGGAACATTCGGGCCTTCATGGGGGTCAAGAACTGGCCCTGGATGAAGCTCTACTTTAAGATCAAGCCACTGCTGAAGAGTGCAGAGACAGAGAAGGAGATGGCCAACATGAAGGAGGAGTTTGGGCGCATCAAAGAGGCGCTGGATAAGTCCGAGGCTCGACGCAAGGAGCTGGAGGAGAAGATGGTGTCCCTGCTGCAGGAGAAGAACGACCTCCAGCTGCAAGTGCAGGCGGTGAGGCCACAGGACCACTGCTGGCCCTTCCACCCTGCTCTGACTTCATCTTTCCAGCACCCTGCCCTCCCCACCCAGGGGCTCACCATATGTCACCTCAGAAGCAGAGGGTTCTAGAATAAACACTTCCACAGACCTCCCTTGAGAGAAGAAAAGGGAAGTGGGATAAGAAGAATTCTTAAAACAGATGTTTTCCAGCCTGGTGTCATGGCTTAATAATTCCGTGAGCTTGGGCAAACCACCTGTTATCCTTGTATGTCAATGTCCCCATATCTAGACAGGGAGTAAAGTTACCCACCTCACTGGACTGCAAATTGGCACAGTGCTGGCAGTGGCCAATGTAGTTTCCTCCCTGCAATGGAGGAGACCAAAGATCAAGAGATTTCTGGTTCCCTTCCTCCCCGATTCTCTTTCCCATACTCCCGTCAGGTTGCCCTGAAACTCTTCCCCTCACACCTTCTGGGGTTCTGCCTACATGGGGAGATCCTGGACTCTCAGAGTGAAAGTGGAGCGTCGTCCTCTCTCCTCCTGCCAAGGCAAGGGCCTTGCCCACAAAACAGCTTCCCCTCTGTGCCTTGTCCTCAGGAGCAAGACAATCTGGCTGATGCAGAGGAGCGCTGTGACCAGCTGATCAAGAACAAGATCCAGCTGGAGGCCAAGGTGAAGGAGATGACCGAGAGGATGGAGGACGAGGAGGAGATGAATGCCGAGCTCACTGCCAAGAAGCGCAAGCTGGAAGACGAGTGCTCTGAGCTCAAGAAGGACATCGACGACCTGGAGCTGACGCTGGCCAAGGTGGAGAAGGAGAAGCACGCGACAGAGAACAAGGTGAGGGCTCCCGCCAGGGCTCCTCAGGGCTCCCAGGTCAGGGTGTGGTCTGAGGGGGGTCTCTGTCGATGTCTTCAAACTGGTGACTTTTGACCTTCAAGGGGTTGGTTTTCTTGCTGGCAGGTGAAAAACCTGACAGAGGAGATGGCTGGGCTGGATGAGATCATTGCCAAACTCACCAAGGAGAAGAAGGCCCTGCAAGAGGCCCACCAGCAGGCCCTGGATGACCTCCAGGCCGAGGAGGACAAGGTCAACACCCTGACCAAGTCCAAGGTCAAGCTGGAGCAGCAGGTGGACGATGTGAGTAGGTCGTTACAGGCCTAGGTATACTATGTCCCCCTGGCTTGTGTGTGCACACCTCTATGCTTGGGGTGGTGAGCAGCTTTTTTTTTTTAAGAGGTTAATTAATTTTTTATCAGGGCTCCCTGATACCTTCCTAAAAGGGAACTGAGCAGCACAAAAGAGGGAGCATTATCAGTGCTCAATTCTGTGTTGCATATCCCAAGTCACTGGCAAGATTTGCGATCGCCCTGGGCTTCCTTATTTCAACTTAGATTCAAGCCTATCAATCTCTACCTTCAAGCTCTAAATCTCTACCTTCAACCTCAGGCAGGATTTAGAGTTTTGCCTAAGAACATGAGGTATCTTGGGAACTTTGTGAGGCGCACAGGAAGGTCTTTGGACATTTCGGGCAGGGTCTTGTCCCCTGTGAGCATGGTTCTCCCCTACAGTCCTTTGTGTGGATCTGTCTGCATATGTGCTCATGTAGTATCATTCAAGTGTCTGCTGCAGGCATAGGTCTGTGAGCTGCTTGTAGGCAGGAACTTGGATTTACTCAGCTTTTTGTGTGCAGAGCCTGGCATGGGGTCTGGAACTCTGCAGGGGCTTAGAGGGTGCAGAACAGATGAATGTATCTTCAAGGTTCATCCCACGGGCATTCATTTGATCACCTCTCCAATAGTTACTGAGCAAGACGACATGCTAGGTGCCCACAGTCCCTGGTGACACTGGGCCCACGCTGAGGAAGGCTCCCAAGTGCTGGGCATTGCCCCAGCCCTAGAGCTTCCACGTTACCAAATCAGCAAGACCAGACCTCACCAAGCATACCGGTAACTTCTCCCCACCAGCTGGAGGGGTCCCTGGAGCAGGAGAAGAAAGTGCGCATGGACCTGGAGCGAGCCAAGCGGAAGCTGGAGGGTGACCTGAAGCTGACCCAGGAGAGCATCATGGACCTGGAGAACGACAAGCAGCAGCTGGATGAACGACTGAAAAAGTAGCCTATTTCTCTGCCTGCCATGTTTTCTCCCTCCCAGCCCAGCAGCATGGTGTGCTTAGGGCAAGACAAGCCCAAGGTTTCCCCTTCAGAGGTGGCAGCCTCAGGCAGCCTCCACAGTGGGTGCAAATATGGGCTCCAGAAAAGGGTTTTCCTCCCTCTGCCCCCTCGCTGCCAGGAGTCCAACTTGGAGCCCTTTCTTCCACTAGGGACTCAGAAGGTGGGAAATAACAGTTCATTCCCAATTCTGCCTTTTAGACACCGTTGGTTATTGCAGAGGATGGCTCCACACAAAAGCCTCCCAGAAAGTCCCTTTCAGGAGTCACACAGAGAAATGAGCCAGCACCGTGCCGTGCAGGGCAGGGGTTCAGGCCTTTCTTTGTCTAATAAAGGTGGTTCCAGTTCTTACTGCAAACCCTTCCAAAATGCATAGATCCATGGTCCAGAGGTGGTAACGAGTGAGCCCATGGACATATTTGGATAAAACGGGTCTTGTGGTGCTCAGGGTCGGGACTTCGAAAGCTTCTGAAACCATCCCCATCAAGTACTTCATGCCCTGGTCCTTTCACACTTCTCTGAGCACAGTGTTTGCTGACTGAATAAACAATCACACAATCCTATTTGACATACAAGCCACCTATTAAGGAAAGTATTTTTAGGGCCTCACTTTGCGAAAGACCAAACTAAAGCTCAAAAAGGTTATCCTCATCTTACAGGTGAGGAAACAAGGGCCAAAGAGGGACAGTCCCCCAGAACCCAGGTCCTCACCTTCTACCCACTGCTCTGACATTCCATTTCTTGATGGACTTTAGTCTGACAGCAGGTCACATCCGGGGACCCTACATCAGCCCATCATTTCTCATGACTTGTTATAGTCTGCTCCTGACTTGTTATATTATCACTTTCCACCCCTGGGGGCCCTCCGGAAGCCCAACCGGCCTCCCTGTTTTGTCCTCCCTCCTTCTCCACAGGAAGGACTTTGAGTTGAATGCCCTCAACGCAAGAATTGAGGATGAGCAGGCCCTGGGCAGTCAGCTGCAAAAGAAGCTCAAAGAACTCCAGGTGAGGTCGGGGGATGCCCACAGTAGGCAGCGTAGTCCCTGGGCAGATTCTGAGCTTCCCAGACCCCCTCCCCAGCGATGCAGAAATCTGTTAGTGTTCATAAAGCGAGGCACTGAGCTATCACGTTAGGGGCGCCGAGTTATCCAAGGGTGACATAGAAAGAAACCTTGCAAAGGCCACAGGGGTGTGGGCAGATTCTGGTTTCCTGTCTCAGCTCGGTTCAGCAGTACACTGAGTCATGCCTGATCTCTGGGCCCTGTGTTCTTTCACGGTGGCTAGGAAGGTCCTTTCCACCTCGATGACCTGTGAATTCAATTCTTACCTCGGATACTGTATTAGATCTTTGACTGTCTGCAAATGTGTCTTTCTTATGCTCACATGTATTCTCTTTGCCACTAAACTGCTTAAAATCTCCCTAGAGGGGCCCTAACTGGTGGCACAGTGGGTTAAAGCACTGCATTGAGAAGCTAAAGCCACTTTCGCATGAATTTGATCCCCGCCTGCCCTGGAGGTGACCCACATGGCGCGGCAGACCTCTCCTGTCCCGCCCGCTGCTCCCCTCAGCAGTGTACTTTGTCTATCTACCTGTTCTGCTCCCTGCTCTGTCTCTGGTGAAGCCTCTCGCCACCCCTGAGCCTCTGGCCTGTACCCCAGTTCTGTATGCACAAATAAATAAATCTTTAAAAACAAAATCTCCCTAGAATATGGGTCTCTTTGTCCCTCTTCAAGAGAAAGTTTCAACAATTGTTTTCTAACAGAAAATGTATAATGTTCTGGCCTAAAGGAAGGCTAACTTGGCTGTCCAAATCACCTGTGCCAAATCTTTCCACTTTCTCCTTTCCACAGACAGAACTAAACTGACTTGCTATTCCACACAAGCTAGGAGCCCTCGAGAGCCTGGTCCTCAGAGTGGGGGCCCCGAGGGAGGGCAGCCACGGGTCTGACTCTCCGTGTCCCGGCCCAGGCACGCATCGAGGAGCTGGAGGAAGAGCTGGAGGCCGAGCGCACGGCCAGGGCCAAGGTGGAGAAGCTGCGCTCTGATCTGTCCCGGGAGCTGGAGGAGATCAGCGAGCGGCTGGAAGAGGCCGGCGGGGCCACATCCGTGCAGATCGAGATGAACAAGAAGCGCGAGGCCGAGTTCCAGAAGATGCGCCGGGACCTGGAGGAGGCCACGCTGCAGCACGAGGCCACGGCCGCAGCCCTGCGCAAGAAGCATGCGGACAGCGTGGCCGAGCTGGGCGAGCAGATCGACAACCTGCAGAGGGTGAAGCAGAAGCTGGAGAAGGAGAAGAGCGAGTTCAAGCTGGAGCTGGACGACATCACCTCCAACATGGAGCAGATCATCAAGGCCAAGGTGGGGGCCCGCTCGCCTCCCCACTTCCACTCTACATCCACGTGTCCTCTCCTTGGGTGGCTCCTTCTCCTGCTCCCTTTCTACTGGTTTCTGTGGTTCTCTGTTACCTGTCCCCTTTCACTTCTTTCAGTCCCTATACCTGCCGTATGACTCTCCTTCCTCTCTCAGGCGAATGTGGAGAAGATGTGTCGGACCCTGGAAGACCAGATGAATGAGCACCGGAGCAAGGCCGAGGAGACCCAGCGTTCCGTCACCGATCTCACCAGCCAGCGGGCCAGGCTGCAGACTGAGAATGGTGAGCCTGAAGCTGGGGTCCTTGGGCCCCACCCACTTTCCCTGACTTCCTGGACTACTCTAGCTTCGGACAGACACACACAGGCATGCCAGTACACACATACACAAACACACACACACCGCTCTCCAGAGGGTGAGGCCTGAGGGCTGGGGAGGGGCCGGGGGTAGAGATGTGTTTGACCTTCCAGTCTACACCACTTGAGGGTGCCTTGGTGCCTCTCCAGGTGAGCTGTCCCGGCAGCTGGATGAGAAGGAGGCGCTGATCTCCCAGTTGACCCGAGGCAAGCTCACCTACACCCAGCAGCTGGAGGACCTCAAGAGGCAGATGGAGGAGGAGGTTAAGGTGAGGCCTAGACTCAGGTCTCGACTCCCAGGCAAGGAGCATACCAGCTGGCCTTGTGCCACAGGCTTGCTGCCTGACTATCATTCTCTCACTTTTCCAAAGGAATAATCGCATGCCTTTATTTAAATCTATTCCCCAAGTTAAAGTCCCTCTGTTCCCCAAGTTAAAGTCCCTCTGCTGCCATCCTGGAGGGAAGGCCGAGGGCATGGAGGGCATGGGGCCGGCGAGGCAGCCAAATCAGGGCGAATAAACAAGGGTGGCGTGACAGACCCTTAGTCAGGTGTAAAGGTGGACACAGGAACTGCCCAGTGGGTCCTGGGATTAACAGGGCAGTCTGAAAGCTAGTGATGGAAACTAAACAGGTACCTATTCCCAGCACTTGGCTGGACTCATGAAAAGAAGAAAAGAAAATGACTTTTAAAAAGAAAAATCCCTGGGCCCTCCCTCGTGGCACAGCGGGTCAAAGTGAAGCACTACAAAGCTAGCCGCTTCAACAAGAGCTCCATCCCTACCCTGGAGGTGACCACATGGCCAGCAGACCTCTCCTGACCCGCCCGCTGCTCCCCTCAGCAGTGTAGCTTGTCCATCTGCCTGTTCTGCTCCCCGCTCTGTCTCTGGTGGAGCCTCTCACCGCCCTGCACCTCTGGCCTGCACCCCAGTTCTGTATGCACAAATAAATAAATCTTTAAAAAAAAGAAGAAGAAGAAAAATCCCAGGGCTCAAATCCTAACCAGTGAGGTTGGTAGTGTTGAGGAAATCACCTAAGTTTGCTGAGCCTCTGTCTCCTCCCTCAAAACGGGGCATGATGATAATGTTGCTGCACTGAGGAGCATGAAGTTTCTTGCCAATAGTGCAGTGCTCCCTGGGCATTCTTTGTTATTGTACTAAATAAGCCACGCTGGGCCCACTGAGGATCTAGAGCGACACGAGCCACGGGGAGGATGTAGAGATTGGGTGAAGACTGGAGCAGATGATGAGAAAACTGCACCCACCCTGGCGCCCTCCCCAGGCCAAGAACGCCCTGGCCCACGCCCTGCAGTCGGCCCGGCACGACTGTGACCTGCTGCGGGAGCAGTACGAGG